TATCTTTAGGAATGGAGGGTTAATACTGTTTTGTGGGAAGAGAAACTTAAAGAAAGGGCATTGCGCATACATGGAACAAGAGAACTTACGTAAATTCAAAGCGATGTTCTATTTTTGCTGCTGTTAATTAAATGTTATCTTGCATGCTTCATGCTTACAAATCACTTCAGCTATTGTCAGATCTCAAGTAGTTTCCCTTCATTTCTTCTTCTTCACAGAAATCAATTCGAAAGTCTCGTTCAGTGATTTGCTTTTAATTGGAAAGCACTCCCAAATGCAAGCCTGAACAATGTGGTCACTGATGTGCTTTGATACTGATTATTTGTCAAGCCAGTATTTAAAAGGAAACATCTGACTGGAATCTGTAGCGTGGTTTATTTTCATCCTTTTGCTTTTTCCCCCAGGTTTGGGTGAGCCTCAGGAGAGGTATGAAGGAAGGCGAGCACTGGGACTCTGCTGGCAAGCTGCAGAGACTTCAGACTATTCAAGGTGATGAGCTGGGAGCCTACAGAAACAAGCCAGTTACTGAGGCTGGCGGGTAGGTTTTTTCATCTCATCATCACCCCCTCATGATGCTGGGGATGGAGGGAGGGAGATCTTAATAGCTGTTTGTTTCATTCTCCTCTAAAAATAACAGAAGTCAGCAAGTGGGTAGGTTTTGACTTTCAATAAACATGTGGTTCCTCTGCTGAGCAGTCAGAAGATGCTTGTGACTGAGGCTAGAGCCATACTGCTCCCTGCTGAATTCCCTCCCTCTCTACCTCCTATTCCTCCTGCCTTCTCCATCTTTTGCTGGACTCTCTTCCCTGTGCTGCTCTCCTGGCTGACTTATAACATCAGTCCTCTGTGGAGCCAGAGAGATGTTCCAGTTCAAGAAGAAACTCACCTGGCAGTGTGGGATGGAGGCAGGTTCAGACACCAACAAAGGGCGAGGAAACATGGAGCAGTTGGAGGCATTCGTGGTTTGTCAGAAGAACTAGTTAGTGATCTGCTAGTGCCTCATAATCATGCCATTAACTTTGCTTTCAGATGATGACCTATGAGACAGATGGTGACAAATGGGATATATTAAAGGAGAGGGCTTCCCTTTGCAAGTCACAGGTTTATGCTATATGTTAGACATCATTTTATTTTCTTTGGTGCTAGTATCTAGGAGAAAAGATTCAATGTCCCTCTCATCATCTGTTTATGTGGTTTTCCCAGAAAAGTGAAGAAACAAAGTTCTTGAGCTGTAAGCTGCAGATTCCTTGAGAATGGCTCCACCAACAAATGGCATGTTAACTTTGTCCTCATATTGCATACCTTTAACAAGAGCTATCAAGCAGTACTAAATTGGTCTCTTATTTAGTTAATGTTTTCTCCTAGCTTAATACCATTCTTGAATAGGTTATCTGCTCTGTGTTTTTAAAATGAATGCATAGCAATTATTGTTGATTTTTGGTTATTTGTTTTTGGTTTTTTGCAGGACTGTCATGAAGTATCTTTAACCCAAATAGTACATTACCCAAGGAAAAAAATCATTAAACAGATAGCTTGGTCAGTTTATATTAGAAAGGCAAGTCATGACTTCTCTAAATTGCCTTTTGTGTGTCCCTGCCTTCCCCATAAGCTCCAGCATGTGAAGGCTTCATGGATCACATAGGTCCTTTGTGCCTGTAGTGACCACTGTCAAGGAGCAGAAAGCTCCTTAGGACGTGCTCTGCACCCAGTGAGACCTCGCTCTGACTCAGCTGCTATTACTCACTCCTCTGTTAAGGGATTAATCCCACCTCTGGTTTACCACAGAGTTTTCCCACTGCTACTTACATAAACCACTTTTTATCCCACTGGTATTTGTATTTTCCACATTGTTTGCTAAATAATGGAAAGCAAATTAGTCCTTAACAGCGACTCTGGCAAAGGTCCAAACTCTCCCACCCTTCTTCCTTCAAGGCTGACTTAAGAGAATGAGCTAAGGGATATAAAGTGAGATCATCTTCTAGCTATAATGGCATTAGTTTTTTCAGTCCATTTATTTTTCCTGACACTTGGAACCAGAACTTAAAGGTATATGTAAGAACTGAAGTCCACTGGTATGTGACTATTTTTAAACAAAGAACAAAAATATTTCAGAAAGATATCACAGAACTAATCCTAGCCAAAACCTGAGCTCATAGTCATCAAATAAGGTAATTGCAAGATGGGAAAATCTATAGGCCGGAACTGTATGCTGAAATACAGTTATTCCTTGGTGAACAAAACACAGAGTCTCCGTTTTTTCTCTCGTTATGATACTCACTTGCAGGCACAAGCCAGGAGAGCATGTGAGTGGAATGGCACGGATTTATTATCCTGGATGCTGATTAGGATTCACTGAGAATATTTATCCTACTGAAATAAGAAGTGCAGGGACCCAACCAGGAAACAAAGCCACCTGCCACCCACACAGGGCAAGTGCTGCTTGGCTCAGCTTCAGACCAGATCCCTTCAGTACTAAACTTGGGTATGCTTCAGAGAGTGTTTCTTTTTCAGGGTCCCATCCCTCCAGGCAGTGTGAACCAGCCTACAATGAGACTAGCTTACTCTGCTAAAACATCATCTTTCAGCAGGAGCTATACAGTCACAGGATCCTTCAGCACTGCCTTTGTGAGCAAAAAAACTGTATCATCTTTAAAGGCCAGAGTAACATGTTCAGTACTAAAGCAAAAACTGAACATGTGTGATGGCCCTCATCCAGGAGAGGCCAGTGAGAGGTGATGTCTCCACGCTCCCACGTCCATCTCTGCTGTCCCCTTTCTACCAGCCTTGCTGAGGATGATGCTGAGATGAGGTAAATGTGGTAAAGGTGCACCAGTATACTCTGGAGAAGTGACTGGGTAACAGGGACTGAAGACCTCAGAACCCTGCTCCAACATAAGGGCTCCCAGACCAAGGTGGCCTTGGTGAACAAAACACAGAGTCTCCGTTTTTCACAGAAACATAGAATATTAATGTTAGAGAAGACATCCAAGGTCATAAAGTCCAGCCATCAACCTAATCTAAAGAAGGCTTTGGGTAATAAAAAAGTAGTTTTCAGCCCTATTAGTGTGTTTTATAGTTGAAAAAGAGGGCTTGTGCTCTAGAAAGGATGGTTTGGACCTTGATGTGAGGTTTTGAACATTTCACAGTAAGGCTTTGGACTTTGCAGCTCAGGATCTTAAATTGATGCTTTTATCTCTCAAAAAAGGCATTTGATCTCTGAAGGAGACTTAGGGCCCTTAATATCAGGCTTTGGCTCTTGACAAGCTTGGGGCACTAGAACGGATGTGCGGAGCACTAAAATGAGGCTTTGGGCCCTCACAAATGGGGGACTGGCTATTAATAAATATGTTGGGCCCAAAAATTAAGCCTCAGCCCCTTGAATGAGACTTTCTGCACTAAAAAGGAGGCTTTGTCTTATTAGAGAAGTCCATGAACCCCCAAGAGGAGGCTTTGTGCCCTAAAAATAACATTTGAGACAATAAAATAAGACTCCAGGCCTGAAAACTTAGGCTGCAGGTGATGAAATGGTGGCTTTGGATTCCAAGTGAAGGTCTGAACCCTAAAAATAAGAATTTGGTGCTTAAATGACAAAGCTGTAGCCTGTAAAATCATATAATCATAGAATATCCCAAGTTGAAAGGGACCCCATAAGATCATTGAGTCCAACTTCTGGTTCCCTGTAGCACCAAACAAAAATTAGATCCTACATCTAAGAGCAGTTGTCCAAACACAACCTGAGAAGCCTGTTCCAGTGCCCGATTACCCTCCCAGTGAAATCTCTCTTCTCAGTATCCAACCTGACTCTCTCCTGCCACCACCCCATGCTGTACCCTTGGGTTCCACCCTGCATCAGAGAGAGTAGATCACTGCCTCCCTCCCTGCTCCCTGGCATGAGGAGGCCATAGACTGATGAGGTCTCTCCTCAGAATCCCCTTTCCCAGGCTAAACAAACCAAGGTCTTCAACTCCTCCTCATATGTCTTCCCCTCTAGACTTCCACCATTTTGTAGCTCTCCTTTGGACACCCTTTAAGAGTTTTATGACTTTTTTGTTCTGTGGCATACAGAAGTACAGTGCTCAAAGTGAGGCTGCACAGCACAGAGCAGAGTAGAATAATCCCTTTCTTTGCTCAATTGGCAATGCCATATTTCATGCACCCCAGAACATGATTGGTCTTCTTGGCTGCCTGGACACACTGCTGACTAATGTTCAAGTTGCTGTTAACCAGGACCCCAAAATCTCTTTCAACAGGGCTGCTTGCGGTGTCTCATCCCATATTCTGTATGCATAGCTAGGGTTTCCCTTTACAGATGCAGAATCTGGCACTTGTTCGTGTTAAACTTCATGGAGTTGGGATTGCCTAGCTCTCTAATTTGTATGGATCTCTCTGTAAGGCCTCTCCACCCTCAATGGAGTCAACAGCTCCTCCCAATTTGCTCAGAATGCCTTCTAGTTCTGCATCAAAATAATCTATGAGAACATTAAAGAGAACTGGCCCTAAGATGGAGCTGAGGAAACCCAACTAGTGATTGGCCACCAGACTGATGCAACCTCACTTACTATAACCCCTTGGGTCTGACCAATCAGCCAGTTGCTCACCTACCCAACATTTGTTCTTTCCTATCTTCATGTTGTCCAGAAGGATACTGCAAGAAACTTGCTGAAATTCAAAAATTGCTGAAATCCAAAAGATACCCTTTGTCAACTAATTGGGTGACTTTGTCACAAAAGGAAATTAAGCAAGTTAAACAAGACCTTCTCATGAGGCTGTGATCAGTGACCATATTGTCATTCAAGTGATTTTCAGTAACTCACAGCATAACTTTCTCCATAATTTTACCAGGCACTGAAGTGAGACTGACAGGCCTGTAATAACCAGGGTCTTTCTTCTTATCCTTCCTGCTTCCTCTGTGCAACCAGTGATGTCAACTCCCTCCAGCTGCAATGCAGACACAGTTGCTCTGGCAGCACAGAATATGCCCTGCAGTGAGGCAGCCCCAGATGTGTGATGGCCTTCAGTCTGGCAGCAGTGCACAAGTTCTCCAAGCTGATGTTGTTGACAAGGGAACGGGCCACAACAGAAGTGGGCTGGCCAGGGATGAGTGGCAGCGGTTGGTGGTATTAGGGCAGGGACAGCCCCATCCTCACTTCTGGTGTAATCACCAACTGGGATGGGCTGGAAGAGCTGGCATCATATCTTCTACCACAAGCCAGCCATGTGCCCCAAGGAGCTGGCTGTGCTGGTCACCACTGTCCCCTTGTCCCCCATCACCAACAGTGAGAAGATGTCCGAGCTGCTCTTTAAGGCTTTTAAGTGTGCCAGCCATACTTGAATGCCTCATTTCATGCTGCTCCTATGGCTGCACCACTGGTATGGGTCTGGGCTCTGGTGTTTGCATGATATATGTGACTTTGCACTATCTCATTCCTCCTTCCATCTGAATATGTCCAGGGAATGCCTCACACTCTACCTCAGCCAGATGCTGGCAGCCTGTGGGGTCCAGCCTCCACCAGAGATGCTCCAGCGCCTGAAGGACACATTCTGCTGCTACCACCTGTCCAGTGCCCACCCCAAGCCTGTGACACTCCTCCTGCGGAGTGAGCACTCCCACTGCCTTGTGGCCCTCTTCACCCTCTAGGTTCTGGGGGGTGTTGTCCTGGGCCTACTGGAGACGGCACTTCCTGCACCTCATTGGGACCACTCCAACAACCCCCTTCTGCTCCCAGTCAGGAGCACCATGTAGCTGTGAGACACTGCTCAGCACACGGCACAGGGCCTGGGCAGGGGATCCCCTGCTGCAGCCCCCAGCCACCATGTTGCTGCCTGGCTGGGAGGTTCCATTGTCTGCTCCCTCAATGCCTTCCAGGATTCTTGTCTCCCACAGCATGTCTGCATCAAGAACAGGCCTGACACTGTGCAATGCTACTGCTTCTGGCCCCATTAAAGAGCAGCAGGGGATGACATGCAAACCTTTGTCTTTATCACATTTCTGTGTGGTGGTGTTGTTTGTTTGTTTTTTAAATTCTGTGCCTGCCCTAGTCTGTATCTTTTAACAGATACCTTGGAGCCTATGACCCATCAGTCCATAAAATGAGTGGGCTTAAAAGCTTCATGAATGTCTGTGAGATTATAGAAAGTCGAATAGAATTATGTGCTTTACACCTGCATTTTAGTTGCAGTGAAGATGAGAGTAAGAAATGATTGTCACCAACAGCATGGCTGCATTTTCTGTCTCTGCTGTTTTTCACTGTTCCACTCCCTGCATGCTTTTCTTGTCTCAGACTTCATAGTCAAAAGGACTATTGCACTGACAGCAACCCCAAGACTTCCTCCAGAAACACCCAGCATCACCCATGCTGCCACTCCAGGGAGCAGCCAGCAAAGGACCATTCCTTGGTAAACCTATTGACAGCTGAAGTACAAATGCTGTTGCAATAAGAAAAGTCCTGACATTTCAGATGCCTTTTATAGAAAGAGATGATGGGATTAAAAAGTGTTCTGTGTATTTTATAAGAAATCTTTTTAGTAGCAATTTCTTTCAAACTGATGAGCTGTAGAAGTCTCTACTAAAATCTCTAAATCTTCTCTTTCAAACAAGTTGATGGTGTCATATTAACTTATCTTATTGAGATACATGATGACATCTTGTCCAGCACGTGGTGAAGACAAAACGTCAGACATGAGAGCATGGATGGCTTATAGTTTTGCCATCATTTTGAGTGCCAAGATTACTAACCACATTATGGTCAGAGCTATGATCAAAGTTTTGTTTTGTTTTTTAACTAGCTGCAAATATGCTTTTTACTGAAAAAGTAAGAAGACCTCCAGTTTTACCCAAACTAATTATTTGCTTGTGATCATGGAAATAGTTTTTGTTTGTTTTACAGAACTGGTGTGAATGAGATCCAAGCCCACACAATCAGCAGCATAAATGATAAAGAACATTTAAATCTTCTGTTTCTAACCACCTTTCAGTGAATTTCTTAAGAAATATGGGTAAAAGGCACACCTGTGACATTTTGAACTTTAAAGAAAACAAACACATTTTGTGTTTGAGAGAAAGGAGAGGGCTGATAGTGACTGTATCTGAACTGTTATTTCAAAAGGCTGTAAGATATTTGTTGTTCAATTAACTCTAATTTTTTCAACTTAAGATATTTCACTTCTAAATTGCCTGTGCATGACATTTCAGTGCTAATTTATTGTAATACTTCCATCTGAGGAGAACCTAAAAGGCCACCACAGTTCAGATCTGCATTAAAAAATCTCCATATATATTTTAGTATTAGCACTATTGCAATTAAAATCACTTGGTCACTGATCAAGCACCAGAAATCACCAGTATATTAATTCTGGAGTGGACATAGAACAGGATACATATCAACCACACCCTTGGAAAAGGAAATGTTGGTGCTGATGGGAAATAAGCAACTTTAATCCTTCTTCTGACCAACACCCCATCTTCCTGCACTAGCTGTTAGCAAGAAGCACTTAGTAGAGGAGAGCAGACAGCTTTTCTGTTTCCTTTAGAGAACCTCCTGAGCAAAACAGCTTTGAGGACCTCCTGCCACTTCAACTTGAAACATATCTTAATATTAGATTATCTTAATATTAACTTTAATTTCGAAAATAGTGAGCTTACTGAGCATAGAGTAAGGGCTTAAGGAATCAGGTAAGACACTTGTACATGGATGCTGAGGGCAGTGCCTGCCCCTGCATTCTTCCATATGGCTATGAACGTAAAGACAGATCCTCCCCAAGAGTGCTCATTGGGAATGTATGCATATTCCGGGGCTTTCTGATAATTGGTTTGTCCACAAATCTGAACTCATGCCTTGCTGCATCACAGCAGTAGTGCTTAGAGCAGACTGCCTTGACATCCTCCTTTCTACTGACAGAGGGCACAACAGGTTCATCATCCCTGGTATATACTATAGAATTTCCTGGCTATACTAGAGATATCTCCCAGGCACTTCCTCCTCCCTTTCATCTTTTCGAAGACACAGGTTTCCATGGACTGCACTGTAGAGCAGAACAGAAAATTTGGGCAGGATAAAAACAACCATTTTTTTCTTTGTCAGAAAAGACTGGATAGACCCAAAAAAGTGGGTGCACAATGACATGGGAATACAGTTTTTTGTGGAAGGTGGAAAATCTCTTTGTTGGTATTGCAGCACACTGTCACTGCAATCTATGACTGAACAATAAAGTCCTTCCAAAATTCAAATTGATGGCTTCACTGTAGGTATGGCAAAGTCTTCCAGTCCCACCTGATGTCCTTGCATTCTCTGAAGTCTAAAGAACTGACATGAATTAAAATCCTGAAAATTTAACATGAGCTCACTTCTCCTGTGTCCTTTCCTGAATGCATTCAAATGCTCACAACAGACTAATTATTCATGAGTTATTGATGCTGCATTTGTATATCTGAAGTGCTGGGACAAAAAAAAAAAGAAAAAAAAGGGAAAAAAAAAGACCATATATTACACCAATATTTTTAGATAATCAGGCATTCTCAGTCATCAAGGCATACTTGAAATTGGTCTGCTTGGCTTTAGTTCTCAAAACAGTCAAACACTAATGCATGCAGGGAGTATACACAGCAGTGTACTTTACCCCAAGAGAAATAATTGGAAGTGCATTGGATATTTGTGGCCTTCCCTTGAAATCAGCATTCAGAAAGTAAATGTAAACTCCAAATAGACATTATCCTCCTCATAAACACTTTCTGAATCCTTTTATTACCATGTGACACAATAAGAAAAGAAAGAAATATCCTTGCTTCTATGAAAAAAAACACAAAACACCTGAGAAAAAGTCTTGGAAAGTATGATTTTGTCAGGTACTTAGTTATGGCTATAGCTTCACGTAATAGGATGTAACATGTAACTTCTACAGCTGCAGATGTAATTTACTTACCCTTTGCCTTGTGAACTCTAGGGGTTTATCAACTGATGCCTTAAAGGTTGAAATAAATGTCAAATGAAGGATCAGTTAGAAGGAATAGAATTTGATCAGTCAGATTATAGAGAAAAAGGCACAGAACGTAGTAACAAAGGCTTTCACACCCCTTTATTCCAGAAGCTACTGAACTTGTCTTCTACAGAGCAAACTGGAGAACTGCTGCATACTCGCATCTACTTTGAAACTGAGCCTGTTTTCTTCAGCCTTAGACAAAATCTTACAAAGTAATTTATGATTCCCACATAGAAAAGCATTTAGAAAAATATAATGTATTTCTTGTCATGTAGCTGTGACTTTAATATAAATGTCTCCAAAGAAATGTATTTTTAAACAGCATAATTACATTTTATCACAGTATCTACTTCTCAATTCATTTCATGTATTTGCTGCAGTGCTGCCTCCTCTGCTGGCCCAGGTGATAACTTTGTGATGGCATTGGTGAAGCAGATAAGAGGAGGAAAAGGATTCTCTAAAATTTACAGGTTTTGAAAATGATTAGTTACATTTCTGTTATCATACATATTGTGTACGGGTTTCTTTTGGAAACAATTATCTTAGTCACCAGAATGAGATTTCAGCTTGAATCCTGTGTGATTTACCTTTCTTTTTTACTCACTATATTGAATAACCTAGATTGCTTTCACTTCGAGTTGCGAATAAAATGCTGGTAGAAGCTGGACTTTGTGTAACCTTTTCTATTATGACTCTTAATTCTCCCAGGTACCCAGAAAAATGCATTTTTTGCTTCTCACCAACAAACAAAAACCAACATCAACCTCTTCTTAACATCAATTAGGGAAAAAATTTAGCATTCTGTTCTCATTGTTAAATCAAATGCATCATGCCTCCCCACACCAGCTTGCAACTGCTGTGTGCAAACCATCTGCATAAGTAAGAATGGCAAAGGCAGCTCAGTGCTGTGGTGGTCCAAAACAGCCATGCAGGACCTGTAGGCATTCAGAGGGATGGCTCTATTTAAAGATATTCTTCATGAAAACAAAGAGAGAAAAGAGTGGCTTAATAAAGTTCCTGTGCAAAGGACAACCACATCAATTCTGAATGTTTGTGGTCTGCTGAAGGGTAAATGTTTTATAGAAGGTATCTGTATTTCCTTGCATTAGGTCATTCTATGTGTATTTTGGTCTCGTCCAGATGTTTGATTATGAACAGAGAACTGAGCTTTTCCTCTAAAAAAAAAAAAAAAAGATATACAACTTTGAAAGCTCCCTGACATCTGGTGGAGGGTAATGAGAATCTTGAGACTCATGAGAATCTTGAAATACTTTCTCACATAGGTCTGAGTCATGCCTTTAGTCCAAGAGGAGACTATTCTTGGTATACAGAAGCTGGAAAACAGGCAAAATAAACAATCTGATTGCCTTCTCTTAACACTGGCAGCTTTAAGCACTAGCACTGACCTTTGTACTTGGCCTGCTTTGAGGTAGGAGAGGAGCATGTCACAGAATCACAGAATCACAGAATGGCCAGGGTTGGAAAGGACCTCAAGGATCATGAATCTCCAACCCCCCTGCCACATGCAGGGCCACCAACCTTCCCATCTAATGCTAGACCAGGCTGCCCAGGGCCCCATCCAATCTGGCCTTGAACACTTCCAGGGACGGGGCATCCACAACCTCTCTGGGCAGCCTGTTCCAGTACCTCACCACTCTCTCTGTAAAGAATTTCCCCCTGACGTCCAAC